CCTATCAGTAGGTGCTCACACCCCGTGTTCTATGTGGTAGGTGTTCATACCCCGTGTCCTGTGTGGTGGGTGCTCATACCCCGTGTCCTGTGAGGTAGGTGCTCACACCCCATGTCCTGTGCGGTAGGTGCTCACACCCCATGTCCTGTGGGTAGGTGCTCACACCCCGTGTCCTGTGCGGTAGGTGCTCACACCCCGTGTCCTGTGCGGTAGGTGCTCATACCCCGTGTCCTGTGCGGTAAGTACTCACACCCTGTGTTCTGTGCGGTAGGTACTCACCCTCAGGGCGCTCCTCTCTCCATTTTCAGTTGCCCAGGGAACGTGGGTTCCACAGATGTATGCCTGGCTCTCAGTAAGGGGCTTTGTGAAGAATCTGTGCCTCAGTGGGTTCTTGGGCAGCCACTCATCATTTCTGCTTCGGAGTGTTACTGCAGACACCTCAACAAGAGTGTGTGTGTGTCTTCCCCAAGCTCAGCGCCCTTTGCAGCGCCTGCTCCAGGCTCTCCTGGGGATGCCAGCTTCCCTTTTGCTGGCAGACAGAGCACCAACTCCGAAGTCCCTGGGAGAAGGAAGTTGCCTGGACCCAGAGCCACTGTGAAAACAAGGCTCTGTCTTTCCTGGTAGCTTTTGTCTTAGGTACTTTCTGGTCACCCCACTGAGTTCTCCCGGCAACTGGGATAAAGGAAAGGAACTGTGGAGGGCAGCCCCAGCTGGGCGCCTGGCCAAGCCCGGTGGTTAACTGTTGTGTGCCAGGTTTGAAGGCTCTCAGCAGAGTGTGCCCTCTATGGAGGGGGGTGTTGCAGGCTGCTGGCTGGCTTGTATCTGTCACCAGCACGGTGAGGAGAGGCTGTGATCCTACCCCAGGGCCGCAGGATTGTTGCTCTTCCTGAGGACCCGAGTTTGGTACCCAGCGCCCACATCAGGTGTGGCTCGTGGCCACCGGTACCTCCATCACCTTCTGGTTTCAGGAAACCATAGGAACCTGTGCAATATGGGTACTGGAGATCTCAAACCCAAGTCATCCAGTCTTACTAGGCAGCCCCAGTGGGGAAGGAAGGGTGACGTCCGGGGCTGGGTGTGCTTTGCCGAGCGATCCAGAATGTGGAATGGTCACGGCTTCCATCGGTGTGGCGAAACCTCGCGACTAAAAGCAACTTGGCGAGGAAAGCGTTTATTTTAGCTTCCAGGTCACAGTCTGACGGAACTCAAGACAGGAGCTGAAGCAGAGGCCGTGGAGGATGCTGATTCTGGCTTGCTCCCCGTGGCTTGTTCAGCCTGTTTCCTTAGACATCCCAGGATCACCTGCCCAAGGATGAAAGTGGCCACAGTGAGATGGGCCCCATCAATCGCTAGCTAAGAAAATATAGCTGTCTAGTTGGACTTGAAGCCCACTCAGCAGGAAGGAAATTGTGCCTGCGACTGAAACTCTAGCCAGTTTTTCAGGGCTAGTGAGGTCTGGGACTGGGCGGGTTTGAATAGGAATGGCCCCCACGGACTCATGTGTTTGAACGCTTGACCTCTAGGGATTGGCACTATTAGGAGGTGTGGCTTTGCTGGGGTGGGTGTGGCCTTGCTGGAGGAAGTGTGCCACTGTGGAGGCGGGCTTGAAGGCTCCTATGCTCAAGCTATGCCCAGTGTGATACACAATTTTCTGTTGCCTGGGGATCAAGATGTAGGACACTCAGCTCCAGCACCATGTCTGCCTGCACGCTGCTCTGTCCTGCCATGATGATAATGGACTGAACCTCTGAACTGTAAGCCAGCCCCAATGAAGTGTCTTTCTTCCTGTGCTCACGGTGTCTCTTCACAGCGATAGAAACCCCAATTAAGACAGGGACCTAGTGCGACTGTGCCCCGTTCCTTACTGCGGACTGCATCGCATCCTCAGCCCCACAACTGAGTGCAGCTCCCACCCCTAGAGGCAGAAGCCTCTTCACACCAAATGGAACCCATCACAGCAAGCCACAGCTGGACGTTGGGGATCGGCAGGTGTGGGAGCACAGCCCCAGTGATCTGCCCTCATCCCAGCTCCTGCATCACAGCTCAGAGAACATCTGCTTAGAGGGGCCGGGAAGATCCTAAGAGCCAGAATCCCAGGAACTCCACTGTGAAGCAGTCTCTTAGGAACGGCTGCATAAACAAGACGGGGACAATAGCAGCGGACTTGCCAATCTGGAAGGGAGACAATCTCACAGGGTCCACCCCAGACAAAGAACTACAGGCAGCTAAGGACTGCTGGGAGAGGGAGAGTTAGCCTTTCCCAGGAGGAGGACCCTCACTGGCTGTCCAGTGCAGGGTGGTCAGCTCTGAAGCCATACACACAGGCAACGGAAACAGGCTCAGCAGGTTGTAAGTATACATGTGTGTTCACACATGCACATGTGTGACAATACTGTCAGAGGAAAGGAGTCCGTCACCGTAAGAGTCGGGGACATCTCAGCGATTCAGGAAGGGGACCTGGGAAGGACTGGAGGAAGGAAGGGGGAGGGGAAGTGGTATATCTATACTCCAATTTAAAATGTTTGGGTTTTGTCTTTTTTTTTTTCCCCCGAGATAGGGTTTCTCTGCGTAACAGCCCTAGCTGTCCCAGAACTCACTCTATAGACCACACTGGCCTCGAACTCACAGAGATCCACCTGTCTCTGCCTCCCGAGTGCTGGGATAAAAGGTGTGCACCACCACCACGTGGCTTCAATTTAAAATGTTTTTAAGAAAGAAAATGTCCCGCCAGCTTGCCCAGGTCGTCGTATGGTAGCGTCATCTCCACGGGGTCCTCTTCCCAGACGACTGTGATTTGTGTCAAGCTGACAAAACAATAACAAAACCCAGCAACACCAACCAGGATAAGCGGTTTGCCTGGCTTCTGCCTGGTAGGTGCTGAAGAGTAGGTGTCCCCCTTATCCTAAGGGAGAATCATACACAGACACATTCACGTAGAACATATGACACACTGGCATATGTAACATATAATCCTATAGATGTAACATACAACATGTTCTGTATTGGATATGTATAATGTAATACCTTGTACACATATAGCATATAATATATAATGTATCCCACATACTTAATATATAGTCTATGCTATGTATATATAACAAAATAATATGACATGTAAAATAAGTCACACATGCAATGTAATATGTATTACACACATGACATATGTTATAGAAGCATTGTAGGCATATAACATTTATGTTATAGGTGTGCTATATGATAAGCATATAATACATACTACTTCATGCATATATATCTATATAATATATTGCATATTAAATACATGTAATGATGTATTGTGTTACTTAGTAAATATGTTGGATATTACATATATAGTGTGTAATTCACACTATATATCATATGTAGATAATGTAGGTTTTACATATGTAGCATGTTACCCATTAATTGCAAATATTATATGCATCATACATACAACATATAACACATATACACATAACACACAATATACATTTACTATACTTATGATACATATTATAGCCATGAAATATATGTCAGTGTAATACTGTATACGACATTTTATTTATATGTTGTGAGGTCCTTTTGGTGATTTTTTTCTTTTTTCTTTCTTTCTTTCTTTCTTTTTTTTTTTTTGACACAGGGTCTATGTAACTCTGGCTGTCCTGGAAATCACTTTGGAATTCAGAGGGATCCTTATGTCTCCAGAAAGCCATGTGAACACATTCTAGTTGCATATGCTTGAGACAGGGTCCTGTAGTCTTTTTAAAAAATGTCTATTAAACTTTATTTTATATACATTTGGTATGAAGGTGTCAGATCCCCTGGAACTGGAGTTACAGACAGTTGAGAGCTGCCATGTGGGTGCTGGGAATTGAACCTGGGTCCTCTGGAAGAAGGACCTCAGTGCTCTTAACCACTGAGCCATCTCTCCAGACCCCGTCCTATAGTCTTGAACTCCTCATCTTGCTGCCTCCACCGTGGATGGCAGGTGAACAGCATGTGGAGAGCCATCAGGTCTTTGGTCTCACAGTGGTTTACCTAAGCACTGAACTCCAGGGGATTTCTGTGCCTTTGGTGGTCTCCCACAAGCCAGACACATCCCCACCTTGTCAGGAAGGGATCCAAGCTGAGTGACGTCAAAGTTGAATGCAGAGAGGAACAGCGGCGCCCTCTGTGGGTAGGTACGGGAAATGTGCGTGAATGGGTGCAGTTCCCTGTCCCAGAGACCACTGAGGTTCCAGAAAGGTCAGGCCACCGCCACGCTTGCACATTTGAGGGGGTGATGGACTTCTGCTGCCCCCAGAAAACCCAAGGCAGAGCATGCACTCGACAGACAGAGACAGGCGGATCTCTGTGAGTTCAAAGCCAGCCTGGTCTACATAGGGAGTTTCAGGTCACCCTGGTATACATAATAAAACCCTGCCTCAGGAAATAAAATTTAAAAATCAGCTGCCGTTAGCACAGGCACTAAAATCAATGACTAATAATGGAACCTCAGAAAACCAAGAAACTTCTACACAGAAAGGACAAGGGCATTTGGACAAAGCAGCAGCCTATGGGATGGGAGAACAAAAAACTATATAAGAAAACAAATAATCCAATTAAAAATAGGTACACACATAAACAGATAATTCTCAATAGAAGAATCTCAAATGACCAAGAAACATTTAAAGAAATGTTCAACGTCCTTAGCCAGCAGAGAAATGCAAATAAAAAAAGACTCAGATTCCATAAGAATGGCAAACTCAGAGCCAGAAAGTACACAGGAGTGAGAGACCTTGGGACACTCAGCACTAAGTGGGATGTCTCCATCAAATCCCTCCCCTCAGGGCTCAGGGAACCCTGCAGAAAAGGAGGCTGGAAGAGTTTAAGAACCAGAGGAGATGGAGGTCACCAGGGGAACAAAGTTCATTAACATGAACAAAGCTCCCGTGAGCTTGGAGACTGAAGCAGAGTGGACTGTGCCCGCAAGGGTGTGCACCAGGTCCTCTGTGCTCACTTCCGGTATGACCATAGTGGGGTTTTGGTTTTGGTTTGCTTTGGGTTTTTGTTTGTTTGTTTTGTTTTGTTTTGTTTTTTTCAAGACAGGATTTCTCTGTGTAACCGCCCTGGCTGTCCTGGAAGTGGAACTAGCTCTTGTGGACCAGGTTGGCCTTGAACTCACAGAGATCCACCTGTCTCTGCCTCCCAAGTGCTGGGATTAAAGGCCTGCGCCACCACCACCCGGCTGGGTCTCTGGATCTTATGCCTTCTCTTGAGCTCTTTTCCTTCTGTCTGTTTGTTTTGTCCAAGCCTAATAGTTTCTTTTCTTTTCTTTCTTTCTTTTTTTTCACCCAAGATAGGTTTCTCTGTGACTGCCCCTGGAACTTGTTCTGCAGACCAGGTTGGCCTAGAATTCAGATCCATATGCCTCTGCTTCCAGAGTGCTGGGGTTAAAGATGGGCACCACCACCACCTGGCAGAATATGGTAGTTTTTATATTATTATATTTTATTATTATTCCTTAGGAGCCTGTTTGTTTTCTAATGAGAAAAGAAAGGGAGTGAATTCAGATTAGAGGGGATGTCGGCAGGAACCGGAGGAACAAGGGCACGAGAACTGTAATCAGAATATATTGAGTGAGAAAAATAATCTATTTTCTTTGTTTGCTTTTTAAATTTTCTTCTCTGTAGCTTTGGGGCCTGTCTGTTCATTGCGTCTCATTTCAGACTACAAAACCAATAAATCTCATGTTTTTTTTTTAAATTTTGTTTTGTTTTTGTTTTGTTTTGTTTTGTTTTCAAGACAGGGTTTCTCTGTGGCTTTGGAGCCTGTCCTGGAACTAGCTCTTGTAGACCAGGCTGGCCTCGAACTCACAGAGATCCGCCTGCCTCTGCCTCCTGAGTGCTGGGATTAAAGGTGTGTGCCACCACTGCCCAGCTAAGTCTCATGTTTTAAATTGTATGTATTTTTAAGTCTCTTACAAAAATACTTTATATTTAATCCAACCCTGCTTTACCTGTTAAGTTGAGAGCCAGTACAGTCTAGCTTGGGCCCAGCTCTCCAGGCAGATTCTATACTGGAGCTGTACCTGATATACAGTCCTCAACTGCTCAGAGATCTGGGGAATATGGCATTTAAATATTTAATTATTAAAAAGCTTTTTATAACAAAAAGAGTCAGGTTGGCTCCTAGCAGCAGCATTCTATTTCCTTCAAAGAAGACAGAAGACAGATAGGCACACAACAACGTCCATCTGCAATTCATTTCAACTGCCAAGTGCTAATCACTGGGAAAACTACCTTTCTTCTAAACTGAAGATTTCCAGACATGGACAGAATCACTGGAATCGACAACCTAGCTGCTCAGGTCAAGGTGGGCTTGTCTTCCTACAGATTTCTTAGCCCACAGGATCTTCTGGAGCCTGGCAGGCCCTGTATAAAACAGCAAAAAGCAAATAAGACCCTCCATGACCATGGAGGACCCTGAAGAATAGATCTAGGTGCCAACCAAATAAGTTCTCTGTTGTTTTTAATCAAAAACTCAAGTAAAATTTTATCCTTCTCAAAGATCTCTGATGCAGTTTGACAGTTGAGAGGTTTTATCGTTTAAAAGGACAACCTCACCAAACAAATTTCAACAAAATACAAGTTATTAAGGTGTGTACCTGCAAGTTATAAAGGAGTGAGGACAAATACACACGATGAAATTTTTCTCTCACGCTGCCTTCCATAGTCTTAAAAATACTTTTCATTGAGCAAAGACATCTGTCACAATCATTCTGCTGCTATTTAAAACTTCTGTTTTCGCAAACCCAAAGAATTCTTGTGAGTTTCAAGGAGCCAAATTGAAGAATCCACCTTAAACAGATACACCCTTCTCAATTCCCTGGTCCTAAATTTTTTTCCCTAAACTTAACTTGTTCTCTGTTCTGCCAATACCTTATGCAGCTGTAAGAGACACCAGATATTTCCATACCACAAACACCGGACAGGAACAAAGAGACCAGCTAGGCCAGGATGTGACCAGCACCCAGCTTTCTCAGATTCTCCCCAAAGATGACGCCCACAAATAAGCAGGAAGCAGTCTTGAGAATCCACGGCCTCAATTCCTTTACCTGTGGTACCTAACCTCCTGCCTTTTTATTATAAAAAAAGAGGTGAGAATGTAATGGTCTGTTCTGTCCCTTTAAGAGACAAGCTATGCCCCGCCCCCACAAGCTGATCTTCAGTTTACAGCCTGAGTCCCTTTCCTTTCTGTCTCCCCCTCGAAGACGAAGACGCAGCTTCTGTCTCTATTTTCTCCCCACTTCTCCCTTTTCCCCTCTCTGTTTCTCTCTCTCTGCCTCTCTCTCTCTGCTCTTCCCCCTTCTCCCATTCCCTTCCATAACCCACTAAATTTCCAACTTCACTCTGCATGGCGTGCCCATCTGTCTCGGTCTCTCACCTGCCATGTAGCTTCCTGCCTAGGACCCACTGGCCCTCGTGGCCCATGGACCACTTGGGGGCTCGCTGCCTGGGACCTGGCTGCCTTTGTAGCCTGCCGTGGTTTCCGGACCCGCTGCCCTCTGCCTGCTGCTGCTCGGGGACCTGCGTCATGGTCTCATGACCCGCTGCCCACTGCCGCCACTCTGGGACCTGCAGCATTTTACTTAAAGCATTGCAGTCAGTACTCAAGTTTCATTAGAGAATTGCCTAAAATAATTTTATAGGCATTTATTTTCTTCTTTCCTTTCACATAAAAGATAAAATAAGCTAGGATCCAACTTAAAAAAAAAAAAGTTGGTTATGGTCCCATTCACCTGCAACCCCAGTGCTCTGTGGGGTCCCTGACAAGTGCTGGCTGGCAGCCTGGCTCCAGGCTCCTCCACACTGTGTCGTGGGAATGACAAAAAGTGATAAAGGACGTTCATCTCTTCCTCTGGCCCCTGCACACACAGGCACACATATGCTATGTACCCCATAAACACACATACAACTTTTTAAATTAAAAAACAAAGCAAAAAAACTTTGAATAATTCAAAACCTGTTTGGGTTAGTTAGCAGACTCTTCATCTAAACCAAAAGCAAAAAGAGAGGAGGGGATGCGGGTGTGTGACCCACTGATCCTCCGCCAGTCCCTAGGTTCTATTCCCCAAGAAGCCAAGAAGAGGAAAAGAAAAAAAGAGAGAAAGAGAAAAGAAAGAACAAAAAAAGGAAGGAAGAAAAGAAAAGAAAAAAGAAAAGAAAAAAGGGGCTAGCGAGGTGGCTCAGAGATTAAGAACACACTGGCTGCTCTTGCAGAGGGCCTTAGCTCGGTTTCCAGCACCTACATGGAGTTTCACAACCATCTGTATTCCAGTTCCAGAGGATCCATTGCCCTCTTTTGGCCTCTGAGGGCACTGCATGCACATGGTAAACAGACACATGGGCAAAACACCATATACGCATATATATATATGCGTTTATATATACATATACGTTTACACACACACACACACACACACACACACATATGTTTGAGACAGGGTTTCTCTGCATAGCCCTGACTGTCCTGGAACTCCCTTTGTAGACCAGGCTTGCCTAGAACTCACAGACATCCAGATATCCACCTGTCTCTGTCTGCCTCCCTAGTACTGAGATTAGAGGTGTGCACCACCACCACCACCAAGCAAATTTTTTTTCCCTAAGGAAGAAAAGGGGAGCCAGGTAGTGGTGGTGTACGACTTTAATCCCAGCACTCAGGAGGCAGAGGCAGGAGGATCTCTGTGAGTTCGAGGACAGCCTGGTCTATAAGAGCGAGTTCCAGGACAGGCTCCAAAGCTACAGAGAAATCCTGTCTCGAAAAAAAGAACAAACAAGAAAGGAAGGAAGGAAGGAAGGAAGGGAAAATAGGGATCAGACAGGTCTTAGTAACCATAGGGCAATGTATCTTTCAAAAAGACACCTGGCCAGGCAATAGTAGCATATGTCTTGAATCCCAGCACTCGCCAGGCAGATCTCTGTGAATTCCAGGCCAGATTGGTATACCAAGCAAGTTGCAGGACAGTCAAGACTGTTATACAGAGAAATCCTGTCTCAAAAAAAAAAAAAAAAGATATCAGGATTTATTTCTTCTTTTTTGAGACAGGGTTTCTCTGTGCAGCTTTGAGCCTCTCCTGGCACTCGCTCTGTAGATCAGGCTGGCCTTAAACTCACAAGATTTGCCTGCCTCTGCCTCTCGAGTGCTGGGATTAAAGGCGTGTGCCACCATTGCCTGGCTATTTATTTTTATTTTGTATGTATTTTATTTTGCCTGCGTGCATCTGTGCTCCATATGCATACAGTACCTGAGAAGACCAGAGGAGGGCATCAGATTCTTTAGAACTAGAGTAGTTATGGCTGGTTGTCTCTCTGTCTGTCTGTCTCTGTCTGTGTCTCTGTTTCTCTCTCTCTCTCGCTCTCTCTCTCTCTCTCTCTCTCTCTCTCACACACACACACACACACACACACACACACACACACCATCCAGCCTAGGAGTTAGCAACTCTTTTCTAGAAAAGACCAAAAAAAAAATCTATATTTTCAATTGTTCGGGAGATTGAAATATCTTAACCCCTATGTGACAACCAAGAGCAGCTACAGATGTGGTACAAATAGTCAGGGGTCATACACACCGATACAACTTTATTTAAAGACACAGTGAGAAGCCGTGTTTGTTAAGAAGGCGAAGAAAGAACCTGGGCTCCACGTACACGCTGAGTCTGTGCTGGGATGGTATCTGGGGGGTATCAATGCTCAGTGGCCCTTAAGCTTGGCAGGCAATACCCTAGGCACGGGAGCCTTTCCTTGATTCAGCATTTCCATTTGCCTAAGAGTTCACCACCCAGTTCTCAACCAGTTCTGAGTAAAACGATGACACCTGCCAGGATCCTATGTTTGACCTCTGACCTCTCTGCTGTCGTCTACCAGCTCAATTAGATGTTGGTTTCCTTTGCTAATTGAGCTGGGACTTTCCCCAGCTGCCCCAGGCAGATGCCAGCAGAGAAATCCCACTGTAAATGCGGTCTGCCCACGCATACGGTGGCTGCTGGAAGGAGGCCAGGAGACCGTGAGAGGGGCCAGCATGTGCTGGGCTAGTGCCCAGCTAAGTCCTCTGGTGTTCCTTGCTCGTCTTTAAAGAGAAACGGAGTGCACACCTACAGTACCAGCCCTTAGAGGCAGTGGCAGGGCTACAATGAGGCCCATCTTAAAATAAAAATCAGATGAACTTGGAGGACATTCTGCGAAGTGAAAGAGGATGGTGGTGGTGGTGGGGAATACTATAGGCTCCGATGATATTGCTAGAGCCGCCAAAGAGGGAAGTAGAAAGGGTGTAGAGGCAGAGAATGTGAGAGGGAGGGGCTCTGCAGCAGGACACTAGCTGAGCATGTGCAGGGTTCGGGATTCCATCCCACGCTTTAAAGGGAAGAGTTCCGGAGACTGTGAGGACTGGACATGAGTGTAGGACCTACACACGGGGCCAGCCTAGTCTACACAGAGTTCCAGGCTAGCCAGGGACATACAGTGAGGCACTGCTTAAAAAATAAAAACCGGAGGCTGAGCATGGTGGTGCACACCTTTAATCCCAGTACTTGGGAGGCAGCGGCAGGTGGATTTTAGTGAGCTCAGGGCTAGCCTGGTCTACAGAGTGAGTTCCAGGACAAGCAGAGCTACACAGAGAAAACCTGTTTCAAAACAAACAACAAACAAAACCAACAAATCAGTTTGTCACTGTGCTGCACAGTATAAACGTATATTTTATATCTTTTAGTGTGTGTATGGTGGTGTAGATGGAGTCCAGGGCCTTGTGTATGCTAGACAAGGGCTCTACTCTGAGCCCTGTCCCAGCCCCTCACTGGGGATCCTAGGCAGGGGCTCCACCCCTGAGCCATACATCCAGCCCCTCACTGGGGGATTCCATGTAGGGGCTCCACCCTTGAGCCACACCCCAGTCCTTCATTGGGAGATTCTAGACAGGGACTTCACCATTAAGATATTCCTCCAGGGCTATTAAGTAGAATTTTTAAATAGCATACAGAACCCTGTTCTTGATATCAGACAACAGATTCTACCAAGCTTGAATCCTACTATAATTAACCTGAACTTAAGATCCGGCTGTCAGAGTCCTGGCAAGGATCCCTGACCACAAGCCAGCCAGAGGCTATCACGCCTCCTTCCCAAAATAGGTTGGGAGGCTCTTTATTTCCATCCCATCTGTCCAGTCAGAGTATGAGATCCCTGCTCCTTGGGGTGGAGGGCAGCAGGTGGCTCCGCTGTAATCTCCTCAGCTGCTCTGAGTCCAGCTGAGGCCAGGGCCACCACGGTTTATACACAGGTTCTGCCATCCTAGGTGAACTCCTAGGCAAATGAAAAGGCTGGAACAGGGAAAGGCTCCAGCTCCATAAAGCACAAACCCAACCTGGCTCCCATGTCTGAGGTGTGCTGCCAAGGGCTGAGGACTCTTCCTGCCTCCGCATTTCAGCTCCTGTGAAAAAGCAGGATAAAGATGAGGCAGCCAGGATCATCAGGCCCCCTTTGGGCAATTCCTGAAAGCGACAGGGCTAATTGGTAGTGATCCCTCCCTTCCTCCCCATCTCCACACCTTCCCTGTCTGTCCTGCGTTTCCGTCCTTTCTTTTTGGTGTCACTCTGGTAATTCAGGCTGGCTTGGAAGTGGTCATCCTCCTGCCTCAGCTTCCTACGTACTGTCAATCTTTCCACTGTATTGGAGAAGACGGACGTGCCTGACTCTGCATGGCACGCTTCAGATCTTCCTCCTGTCCCGGAAGCCCCAGCATCCCTAAGAACAGACCTCACGGCATTCCTACATTTTGAGGTCGAATAAAGCAAAAGAGCTTGGTTTACTCACACATTTATTGTCTGATCACTCACGCCGAGCTTTGATTGACACCAGGAGGAAGAAACCAGGGGCTTCCAGGCTCAGGTCCTACCCTACCTCCGGGCAATGCCATGAGAAGGTGCTTTCTCACAAAAAGGCAACACGGGGTACTTCCAGAAGCCTGAGCCCAGCCGCGCTCCACACTCACCTCTCCCAGATGTCCTGGTGACTTTGGCTACCTCAGCCCTTGCCCTGTACAAGGCCCACTCCACCCCAGCAGCAGCACAACACTGTACACGGCACAGTGGATCCATGTTTGTTGAATGACTGAATGAATGAACGATGCTGATTGGCATGAGGAACACCTGCTGTGGTCAGGGCCCAGTTATGAGTGCTCAAGGCTGTTAGCTCTTGGGCATTACGCCCTGTATGAAGGTGGCTCCCTTTCTTTTGCCTGTGGGCAGCTGGAGACTCGAGCTTTGCTTCCTGTTAGCTCTGGATCTGTCTGCTCAGTGGAGTAACTTGTGAGACCTTCTGGGCCCAAACACAAACAGCCTAGGCCTAATGTACAAAGCCTACGGCGCCGTCCTTCATGCAGGCTCCCTGGCCACAGCATGCTGCTTAGGAAACTTGACATTCTCTACCCTCTGTACACAGGAAGACCTGGGATCTCCACACTACTGAGAGGAAGCAGGAGGCTCAGAGGAGGTAATTGCCCCAAGACGTCCAGAAGGAGTCACAAAATTGCAGGGAGGTCCTGGTTGGAAAGAACAGGGCACCCCCGCATGTCCTTGGAAGAAACTTGGCTAACTGAGGCTCCATGTGGCTTTTGGTTACAAGATATATTTTGAAAGAACAAAGAAAGAAAACCAAGAGTCTACTGGCCAGGGCTTCTGCGGCTGGCACTGTGAAGATTGTGTGACCCCGAAGGCTGTGATGTCATGAGGGGGTCTAGCAGAAGGCAGGGCTTCTCACTTCTACCCAACTTCTCTACCCTCGCATCTCAGCCCTGCATTAGCCCCATGAGCAGCTGTTGGCTCTGAACCGCGGATAGGGAAGTCGAGGCTGGTGGAGAGGAACTCTTTGAGTTCTGTATGCCCTTAAGTCCTGAGGTTCCCTGAGTCCACACCCTTCTCCCCAACATCCCCTGGATGCCCGGGGCTGCTCCTTAATCGGCCTTCTTGGTCTTCTTCTTCCTAGAGCCTTCACTCAGCTCCTCCCTGGCCTTGGCAGGCAGGCCTGCATGCTGGGTGCCTAGGCCTCCACCATGTGGTGCTCCATGGTTGTCATGGTGATGGTCACTTCCCCAAGCTGCCCCAAACAGCACTGGGCAGATGTAGCCCTCCAGGACATCAAATGGAGAACTGTGGGAGTGTGTGGCCGTCAGGAACACCTAAAGGGAGCCCAAGAAACACAAGGGAGGGGGCGGACAAAGGAGCAGTGAGGGGGAGTGGGTCTGCCCCAGCCCTCTGGTTTCCCACACCTCCAAGCTCGTGAGCCCCAACTTCCAGGAATGCTGCAACCAGTGGTCACCCACCTAAACAGGACCTCCCAACACCTACACTTGGGTGCTAATTTTGTTGTTGGTGTTGAGTTAGGGTAGCATGTAGCCCAGGCTAGCATCCTGTTCATTATAGAGCCAAGTCTGAACATAAGAGATGGGCATTGCCTTCCCTCATGTGGGAACACAGAAGTGTCAATCATCTGAAGCTGGGAAGAGTCCCTCACAGTACCCCATCCCCATAACCCCGTGCCACCATACTCCACTCCCAATGTCTTGGATGTCGAGAACTCTGAGCATCATTCTCTCTCCCTCCTGTCTTCCCTCACACCCTTCCATCCTCTCTCTTCAACCTCTTTCTCCACTTGCTTGTCTCTGCTGGGTTGCTTTCAGTTTGTGTTGTATTTTGAGGCAGGGTCTTACACAGCCCAGGCAGGTCCCAAACTTGCTGTGTAGCTGAAAATTACCTTGAGTTCCTGATCCTGGGCCCTCCCTCTTCCCTGCCATAGGGCTCATGGGGGCTTGTTCTGTTTTTTTGAGGCAGAATGTCACTATGTAACCTTAGCTGATCTGGAACCTACTACATAGCCCAGGCTGGCCTCAAACTCATGTTGATCCTCCTGCCCCCTCCACAGCAGGACTCACACCCTTTCCAGGGCTTCGGTCCTCTCCAGGGCTGGACCATCTCTAGGAAGGATCTTCTATGCTTGGGGAGCTAGGGACAACATTCTCTGGCAGAAAGACAGGGAAGGCCCAAGTTCCTTCTGGGTGTTTCGATCACAGCGGCTTTCAGCTCCCTGTCCCCATGGTCTCTCATATAGGGGAGCAGCACCTCCACCCCCACCTGCAAGGCCCATTCTCTTCCTCAACCCTCATCCCTCAACCTCCCGATGAAATTCTCGGGAGTGTCCCATCCCAGGGACTTACCTTACATGACACCATGAACATGGTGAAGACGAAGATGAGGCTGGCCTTGGACACGGGGAGCCAGCGCGTTTGCTGCAGGGTGAACAGAATGGCTCCATACAGGCTGGCTTTGGTGGGGCTGGGGGTGTAAGACATGGGTCACTACGGTCCATTCTCAGTCCAGGCTTCACTAAAAGCCCAGCAGAATCACAGCTGGCCAGGAGGCACTGGGCCCGTCTTCCTGGCTGACGGCTGGGGTCTGCTTACCAGGGAGCATTTTAGTTTATGTTGGGTTGGGGAGTTATGGTCTGAGCTCATGTATGAGAACAGCTGGGGGTGGGGGCTCAGGCCCATTGAGGTTGGGGAATTTGGGGTTGAGGCTATGCTAGGGGGAAGAACTCAGCCAGTGAGGAATTCATGGGGTGGTGACACACAGTCAGGGAAACAGCAAAGGTCTGTGACCAAACCAGGGTGACAGCCATATTAGCCTTTTCTCTACGATGACTCCTGACTTCCCAAGGTTGTAAAATAAAAGCATTCTCTCTTCTGGGTCTCCAAGGCTCTTATTATGAAGTGAGGGCCACTGTTTTTGATAGAAAGATCTGTATTCTCACCCAGAGCTGAGTTATTGCCCCTCCTCACTCATGGCCTTCGTCTGCTTCCACCCCAGTATCTCTCTGTCTCTCACCCATGTAAGCAACTTTAGGGAGCTGGTTCCTCCTTCCACCATGTAGGGTCTGGGGACTGCAGGCTTAGCTGCAAGCTCTTTCACCCACTCAGCTGTCTCACAGGCCCTGCATCTTATTTTGAAGCAAAATCTCTCACTCACCCAACCTGGAGTTTACCAGTTTTGCTAGGTGGGCTGGCAGTGTCTCTGCATTCCCAGCTGTAATTTGAATGAGAATGTACCCATTCTGGTCCCAGGTGGTGGAGCTGTTGGGGAGGTTGAGGAAGTGTAGCCTTGTTGAGGAGGTGCTGGGGCTAGCTTTGAGAGCTAAGGGCCTTAGCCACCTCAGTTTCTTGCTTGTGGTTCAAGATGTGAGCCCTGAGCTCCCTGCTCCTGCTGCCACGCCCCTGCTCGCTCAGGTCTCCCACCATGACAGACTCAGTCCTCTGAAACCTAAGCTCCAATGAATGACTTGGTCATGGTGTCTTGTGCCAGCAACTGTAGAATAGCTAAGACACCAGCACGGGGTGACGGGTGTGCTGCTGCACCTGGCTTCTTACA